TAGCTGCTGCTGGGGCGCCGGCGGCCGCCGCTCACCGGCCAGGCGGAGAGGAAAGAAGGAGCTCTCATGGAGAGGAGTGCCAGGGACTCGGAACCCTTAGTGGGGGCAATGGAGGTGAGGGGCGAGGAGCATCCCTCACCTTCAACCCCCGGGTTTTTAATTTCCACTGGACACGGATTTGGGTTTCCCCTGTTGCTCCAGGCGCAGAGTTTTGTCCCCGGCTCCAATGTTAGCCCCGATTCAGTGCTTCTCATCTCGCCTTTCATTTTTTCTCCGGGCTGGGGGTGGCACCCCCTGTACCCCGACATCGGTTTTAGAAGGACGCTCTCCCAGCCCAAGCTCAGGCCTTTTGTGCGTCCGGGCCTTCTGGACATCCAGACTGCGATTAGCCTCCAGGCGCAGAGTTCACTGGCCCTGGAACCAGGTGCCGAAAGGTCCGCAGGACTCTGTCGTCGAGGGGAGACGCCCCATTTTAGCTGTCGCGACCCCTGGAGGCCAAGGTCGAGGCCTGAGAGAAACTTTTCTCCGTCCCAGTCTTGAGCATCCCCTGGGCTTTGCCCCCCAGGGAACCTGGTTGGAAACAGTTACCGAGAACTGCACCCTGTTCAGGGCAAAGTCTTCAGGAGTGAGTGAAAACTTGAAGAAGCTCCAGGCCCCTAAAAGTGTCTCCTTTCAACGGGCCGCTCCACTTTAGAGGGTGGAGTTGAGGTCGGTAACCCTAGGGTAGAGCAACCGGAAGAATGGCGCCTTTGTCCGGGCTGCGGAGCGTCCCTCTTCTCCGCCCTTTCCCTGGAGCTTGGCGAAGGTAGGGGACAAGAGGTGAGAAACGCTCTTCTGGGCCCAGGCCTTGACTGCCGGCTCAAGTCCGGGAGCGTTGGGGTGAGGGGGGTGGTGGAGAGCGCCCTCCTTGGGTCTCTGAACTATCCGCCCTGGGTGTCCTACAGTCTTAGCAACGCGAGGCTTCAGTCACTGAGTCCTGATTCCCCACATTTCAGTCTGTAATAGCAGGGTGGGTCAAAGATTTTCCGCAGGACTGAGGCATAATCACATCCCGATGCGTGCCTCAGGCACTGCCCCAAACTGAAAGTCAAGCCCTGAGAACTGAAGGGTCATGGAAGGTGGCAGAAGCCAACTAGAGGCAAAAATATGCGTCCAGCCACGTGAGACCAGTTGGAGTTTATATCAGAATTGATCCGGGTTTACAAGAGCTGCTAATGGGGTAGTCCCGAGGACAGGCACCTCCATCCCAGCAAGCATGGCCCCTGTCCTACTTGCAGGAGAAGTGCTCAGACCCGCAGGAGTCAGGGGCGAGAAGACCCGTGAGAGGCGCACTTGAAAGTGAAGGAGAGGAGCCAGCTGTCCTCTGCTAGCAGTGACTACAGCAACTTATCCAAGATGCCAGGGAAAGCCTAGTCCCTGGGTATTCAGTTTGATTAACAATCAAGAGAATCTATGAAACTATTTTTCCAGCTAAGGTCTATGCAGTCTATAAGGGGAAAGGGATTTAAAGAAAGTTAACAAAAAAGAACTGGTGTGACAAACAACACGGGTTTACTGTACAGCACAGGGAGCTATATTCAATGTCTTGTAATAACCTATAATAGAAAAGAATCTGAATAAATATGCATATGTGTAACTGAATCACTTTGCTGGATACCTGAAACTAACACAGTATTGTAAATCAACAAAAAAGAGAGAAAGAAACGAAGGAAGGAAGGAAGGAAGGAAGGAAGGAAGGAAGGAAGGAAGGAAGGAAGGAAGGAAGAACTGGTCTCCGAGAGGAGCAAGAGGGGCGAAATGTAAGGAGAGAAGACAGTCCTGGTGCCTCACTAAGAAAATCGAAGAAAGGATCATTGAACTGTTGAGCTTCTGCCTAGATGGTACCTACTGAAAGTTGCTCCCTCGCTGTCTGCATCCACCTACCAGCCCCTCCTGAGTGTGTGAGCAGAAGCAGCACACAATTAACCCCTGATCTAATCTCCTATTAATCCTCAAATCAGAGAAAGAGAGCCTCTCTGGAAACAATGGGAGGGAAAGAACAGTCCCTTCCTGGCCCCGACTCCCCCACCTCCATGCCATGTTCACGCTATGTGAAAATCTCCCTTGCTTCATAAACTTGGCCCATTAAAAAGCCCAGCCCTTGTTAGTAAGTGTTAAAGAGAGATTAATGCCCGAATTTAAGAGGTGGAGAAGGTAACAAAAAGGAGGAAGGCAGGCGAGGCTGTGGGCTGAGTGCCAGCCTTGGGCTCCAAGCATTTCCACTTAGCGCTGAAGGCTGGCTGCACAGCACTTTGATAAGGTTTATTGGGCCCAGATAAAGCGGCAGCAGCTCCCCCACCAAAACTGGCACCATTTATAGCCAAAGCTATGTCCCTGGGTCCCCAGAAGGCTGATGAGAATCCCCAGTTCAGAAATTTCATATGGCAGCACCTAAAAACAAGCAAGATGGAAAATTACAGCAGAAAACTCCCTCTCTCTCCTTCTCTCTCTCTCTCTTTCTCTCTCCCTTTCCTTCTCTCTCATGTTCATGCATTTGTAGTATTTTTTTTACTGTTTTTCTGGAGGGGTGTGGTAAAAGAAGCTGGGACGTCAGCTTTGACAGGCTGGGGAGGTCATGCTGGAGACAGGAATAGACGAGCTGACCTTTGGGTGGAATTCCATTGCTAAATCTCATTCTCTCATCTCCTCCTTTACTCATATACCTCCCGCTGGTAGCAGCTCTTCAGAGCTCAGTCTGTGGGAGAGGATGTGAGGTCCAAGTGATCTTACAGGAAGGAGACAGGGGGAATGATACCTCATTCTGAGCACTGACTGTCAAATTTAATACATTACCTCTATTGTTTTATCTAATCCTCATAACAACTCGAATAATGCAGGAATGATCATTTCCCCCGTTTCTGTGGATGAGAAACCTGGGGCTCACAGAGGTTAAGTGCCTTCCCCAAGACTGTAGAGCTGTTAAATATCAGAGCTGAGACCTTAAATCAGACCATTCCGACTGCAAAGCTCATGACCTTAACTTCTAGATTATACGGCCCTTAGTGAGATGGAAAAATGGAAACAAGGGCTTTGACTTCCCCTTCTCCTCTTACTCCGCAGAGGCCAAGTTCTCTGCAGCAGCCAGTCAAGCTGAGGACCAAAGAGTTCTCCATGGAATCAGGCCATCAGGTAAGCAGACTTAGATGCCCAGCTCTCTGCACTTTCCCCCACTTGTCTTCCTCAAAATCTCAGGCAAAAGTTGAGGAGAGAGTTTTGAACTACAATAAAACTTCAACTAAACAGGTACCCGAGAGAAAAGTCCTTGTGGTGTTCTGAGTGTTCTGCTTGAGTGTTAGTAAAAAGCTCCAAATTATTTTGTTCCAGCTCCTTCGTTGGAAAACAGTTTTAAAATTTTAAAGTAAACTTTCCTATCATGGTAAATAAATCAAGGACTCCTACCTTTGGGGGAGAAGAAGTGACTTTGTGTTTCCCTAAAACCTTGTGATGAATGGAGAATGAAGCATTTTCAAGGACGGATGCAGGCAATGAAGCCCCTGAATAGAAAAATTAAAAAATAGTCTCCCCAAATCGAGAACTCCAGGGCACCACTGAAGGATGCACCAGGCTGTCACAGGTACTCTCAGATTCTTACCCCTCTGTGGACTCTTGAGGAGAAGACACAGCAAGCCTACTGTATCCTTTTTGGAGGCAAAGGGTCTTAAGATGCTTCACGGTTATCACTGAGACATCTTCTAGACAGATGCAGAGGATGTCAAAAGCTAAGTAGAGTCAAATCTGGCCTCAGTGCATATGTTGATCGTTTTCTTTTTTTTTTAATTTAATTCTTTCATGTCACTTCCTTATATGCCCCTTCCAGATAACGGAGCTGAGAATAATCAGTTGATGGGTGTGTTCTGGTTAGTTGAAGCCCAGAAAGCCAAGGCAGAAGATGACTTCTTTGATGAATACTTGCCGTCTTATCCCCCTGTGGAGACCTGGTTAGTGATGTTTACACCTGGGTCTCTCCTCCAGGTACAAAGTCATGCCCTTCTTCTCCTCTGTAGGGCAGAGAGTGACATTTCAAAGGGAGAAGATGAGAGGTTATTTCTTTTAGCCCCAAAAGCTTTGGGTCACTGTGACCCCAAGATCTTCTCCATTGAGGAAGTGAAAGCTTTTCCTCTCTCTCTTCCTCTCATTCCCCCTAGCATATTGCAAATGGTGTTGGGACCTAATGTTGTCAACTCAAATAGCAAATCTGAGTTGTTATTAGTGCAAAGATGCCCTGAGGGGGCAGGCAGTGTGGATGAAATCTGCAATGGATGTACGGGGAAGTGTGTTTATAATTATAATGGGATTTAATGTACACTGGGACCAGATGACTGCAGCCGTTTAAAAAAGAGAGGCTTAATAAGAGAGAAGAGAGGTCCCTTAATGACAGGCAGCAGGGCTCAGGTTATTAGGACGAGGCACGGTGTTTCACGGGGTGTCACAAACCACGTGCCCAGTTTTATGGGGTTCCTGACAAAGCTTTGGGGTAAGACATAGCAACCTTGGCTGTCCGTTCTTGGGCATAATGTTTTAATGTTGTCTCTCACAGGGGTACCTGCTCTTCAGAGAAAGGCGTTTTTTTCCCTCCCGTTCAGATACACATCCGGCCCCAGGCCAACACTGAGTAGTTTGGGTGTTCTCTTGAAATCTGATTTGTTCTGAGAAAGACGGCCTTAATTTCAAAACTGAAATTTTGTAACTGTCGAGGGGTGCATATCGTGTGCATGAAACAAAACGGCGTGACTAATGGGAGTCCCACAGTGAATTCCCCGGGTGCCTCGCTGAGAATTAACCCCCAAGTCCTCATCAGAAATAGGGTTTGGTGGTTTTTTGTTTTTGTTTTTTTTTTCATTTAACACTTTGGTGTTTCAGGTAAGCCAGGAAGTGAGGAAGTATGTAACATTTTCTTACCCTGCTTAACTTTTTAAATAGCTAACTGTTCAACTTTTGAGGTGGTTTAACAGGTTTGAATCCACAGCCGCTGTTTTATAAAAGGAGAGCTACTGTCATGCACACAACCTGGAAGGGTGTGCGGAGAACGTGCCACACTCCAGAAGTGTCACCTAAAGTACCGTGGTCCAGAAATACAACTCACATCCACGTTGCATTATTCTATATATTTCTCTTCAGATGTGAGAGGAGTGTATGAAAGCTAGTGTGTTCATCTAATAAAGGCTTCATCCATGGTTACTGTGTTGTGTGTTCCCAAAGCCTGTGACTAGTCTCAGAGTCCTTGCAGCGGAATGGTTCCCTTATCCTGACAAGGAGGAGAGGGCAGGGATAAAATAAGTGAAAACCCGACTTCCAGTCACGTGCTCTGGGAAGCAGTATTTCTGGAGAAGGTACTCTTCAAACAGAAGTGGTAAGTCGGGGGCACACAAGCCCCAAGATGAAATGATTTTACTCAATGACAGGTAATTTCAAGCAATTACGTTTAAATTATTACAGCAAAACAAACGCTGGGGTCCTGTGGAGTGAAATTCAAAATGTTCATGAATTTTTAAGATAAAATGAGTGACTGCCTTGGAGTTATCCCTTGAGAAAAGCTTACTGGCTTTTTCCCATTAGGGCTGCGTGGGTGGGAGACTGGGGGATGCTCTGCGGGTGATGGCTGTTGTGGGCTTTGAGCCAGACTCTTGGACTCAGCCTCCCTTGCCAGGGCAGGTTTGTTTGTCTCTTGGGGAAGTCACTGTTGGATTTTTGATGGAATCCTCTCCACCCCGCCCTCCAATCAGAATTAATTTCTCCCTCCTCCATAAGTCCGTTAGCACTGTTTAAACATTTACCAGCGTTGACCACCATCTGCCTTGTATCTGACTGAGTTATGTGCATTCTGACCACCCCCTCCATTGTGAGTTTCTGGAAGGCTTGGTCTCAGGCTTGTTCAACTTAGCGTCCCCACTTCCAACCCTCAGAGCCAGCACACTGTCAAAGGAGGAGGTCTCAATAAATGTCCATGAATGAGCTAATTGCATGCATGAATGAATGAATCAGTGGACATAGTCAGCAAATGTTTTAGGAATTTGGGAGAGGAGGGACCATCCTGCATCCTAACATTTAGAGCAGAATTCTTTGTACCTATGGGGTTTTTACCAGCCTTTGAAAAATCGAAGGGATATTGATAAGGGTGTGGGATAGCTGTTGAAGTTAATTGCATACAGCTCCTTAAGAATATAATGGTGTTCTATTTCAGTTTATTTCTCCCTCAGGGGCTAGAACCAAGCTTTTATCCATATCCTAGGAGCATTAATAAATATTTATTAAATTGTATTGAACTGAAATGAATTGATATGAATTCACAGCACTCATTACTCCCATAATGGTTTTGGACTCCCAATCCCAAATGGCCATTAGTTAACCAGTCCAGAGCTGAGAGGAGGCATCTGATTCCCTGCTAGAGACATCAGTGGGTGTAGGATTCCAACGGAATCCAGAAGTAGTGCGTGACACATACATTAGGCACCAGTACTGACAGATTAGCTCTGCTGTTACCACGTGTGGGAAAGACTGGCTAGCTGTTCTCCACATGCCTTCCTGAGCACATCCTGAGGACCGGATTACATTTTCCAGTTTACCTGGCTGCTCCGTACAGGCCGTGTGATTGAGTTCTGGCCAATGGTTGGATTGTGAGCAGAAGTCCATTGTGCCACTGCCAGATCCAACCCATGAACACTCCCACCTGGAATTCTCCATACCCTTTCCCTTTCTGTGGCTTGACCTCATGAGTTTATAGACACCTTGAGAGCTGAGAGATGAAGATGAAAGCAGCCTGGATCCCTGAATCACAACTCGGAGAGCAGCTACCTGTCTACTGGGAACTCCCACTGTGGACTTTACAGAGACAGGAAACAGACCTTTGATGTCTTGAGTAGGCTTGCAAGTAAAGTGCAGGTCATCCAGTTAAATCTGAACTTCAGATAAATCATGAATATGTTTTAGTATAAATATGTCCCAAATGTTACACTAAAATTAGTTACATAGTTATACTAAAATTATTTGAAATTCAAATTTAAATTGATGTCTTTGTTTTTACTAAATCTGGCCACCCTGGTCTTTAGCTCTTTTATATTCTAGAGTTTGTTTTTTATGGTAGCTAGCATTACCTTAACTAATATACCTAGTTTCATTTGTCAGAAGCAACAGGACCATGCACATGAACTGGAACTCCAGCCTGGGTCAAGGGGCTAACCCCAGGTCCTCTTGACAATTAGGTGACATGTAGGGTGGGTGCATTGAGAATGGAGCATCCTAAGTGGACAGGGCCAAGGAGAAAACCAGGAAAGTTCTCGACAGCTTTTTTTTTTTTTTTTGGATACACTTCCTTTATTGAGCATGACAAACCAAAGCAAAACCAAAAAACCCCCCAAAAATATAAAAATCCAGGGTGCCAGAAGTACAAACTCAATTCATTCAAATTCAAGCTGGTCCAGACCCTGGTCACAAGCCCTCGTGAGGTGCACGTGAGCACCAAGCTGGGGAGGGGGGACAGGAGTGAGGCCAAGAAACAGTGGGCAGGGGATCCCCCACACGCCCCCGAGTGATCACCCTGATGCAGGAACCTCCACCTTCTCAGTGACGATGAAGACCTGCCAGGCCCTGTCCCTTTCACCCCCACCCCACCCACGGCCAGGGCATCAAAGGCCAGTCCCAAATGGTTCTACCCTCCCTTGCTCCGTCCTCACTTACTCAGGCTTCTAGCCTCAGTCTCCTCCTCCTCCACGTTCTTCAGTGATTAGCAGGTTAGGGTACTGAATAAGCCGCAGTGAGGGGGCCCCGGTGGGCAGGGTGGAGACGGGGTGAAGAGGGGAGGAGAAGAGCTGTCCAGGCACCCCCTCTCTTCACGGAATCCCAAACTGCACAACCAGCTCCTCTTCGGTGTTCACACGGATCCGAAAAAGTGCACTGTAGGCGTAAGCGGCTCTCCTGGAGACCTGCTGCAAGTCAGAGAAGGGGGCGGGCTCGCTGGCCGGCACCTGGTGGCAGCTTCCTGCAGGGGGTCCGGCTGCTGCTTAGCACAGCCAGGTGGCGGTTGTACTGCCTTGTCTGGTCCATGTACTCAGGCTGCTCCACGCCCTGGGTGTCTGCAGCAGACACGTCGATGATGCTGCGGGCTGTCGTGGCGAGGATGGAGGAGAGCAGCGCCTGCTCGTGTGCGCGAGCCGAAGGCAGGCCATGGTGGCTGCGCTCGGCTCCAATGAGGGCTTTGGTAGGGGCGCTGCTGGAGTCCATCTGCGGCTTCCGCTCCTCTTGGTCCTGGTCCGAGTCTGCGCTCTCGCTGCTGGAGCAGCACCCCCTCGACAGCTTCCTGTTCACCCTTCTTCCTGAATCCACTTTTCTTTAGCTCCCTCTTCCACTGGACACCAGCTCCTTGGTGACAAAGATGATGGTGGGGTTTACTTTTGTATGTGCAGTACTTGGCATGTGGTAAAGTTGAGATCTTGTTTGTAGTGGGAAAGCAGCATGCCTGCTGGGGGAGGCAGATGGGAGGGCATCGTAATGTGGACCTCTCCAAGCTTTTGAGGAATTAAAAAAAGGACTGGTTGAGAACACTGTTAAGCCACTGATCATGTCGTCCTCCACTTTCTCCTTTGTCCCATAAATCCCCAGGGTAACAAAAAAGCTGAGAACTTGGGCTCTGATTTACTCACACAAGTCTGTGTTCAAAGACCACCTCCCATTTCCTAGATCCTGGGTGATTTTTGGTCCACTACTTAAACTCTCCGAGCTGCACTGTCCTCACCTGTAAACTGGGGACAATTACGGTGTCCACCTCACTAGAGCTGCTAGGAGGATGCTCAAGGGGTACCTGGCCACAATAAAAGATCCGAAAATGTTAGCTATTATTAGCAATGATGTCTGGTTCTCTCTCCCTCCTGCCCCTGACAAAATGCCTTATTATAAATATTTGGGGTAAGGTGTTGTGAGAAAAAACGTTAAATCTCTTTAAAAGAATGAAGTTGGGGGGAAGAGGGGAGGGTATATAGCTCAGTGTACAGTGTGTGCTTAACATGCACGAGGTCCTGGGTTCAATCCCCAGGTCCTCTATTAAAATAAATAAGTATGCAAATAAACCTAATCACTCCTCCTTCCCTAAAAAGTAACAACAAAAAAAGTAATAAAAAATTTTTTTAAAGAATGAAGGGGATATGTGCAAGCACATTTGACGGGTCCTTTATGGTTGGATTACCACATTCTGTTGATTCCTACTTTGTGGTTGACTTTATTCCTTTGATAACCATGTAAGTATAAAAAGCTAAAGTCTAATCTGTTCTTAGCAACAATGATCATATTTTTTGTAAAGTATGTAATTATATAAAAAATAAAAAATATTTATATATGTCAACTAAAAATACGCGCAGGATACTGTACACATGTATTTACATGCAATATGATGTATATGTGCAGTCAAACTATAATAATTCCACCTAATTAAACTGGAAAATGAATTTTAAAAACTAAAAAAAAGGAACGAAGGGGGACCTGTGATTACTGACATACTGGGAGCTGCGTGCATCTGTGTGTAGCCCTGTTCTCCGAGTCTTGTTTCATTTATTCAGCTGGGATGGGGCAAGTAGGGGAAGGGAGAGCGAGGCAGGGAGCGCAAGGGGGTGGTGTTCATTCTCACCTCGGAGCATGACGTGTTTATCAGCATGTAGGTCCGCTAAGCGCAGCAGCCTGGTTTCCTTGAGTTAAATAGCGGTCATGCCCAACTGGCTCTCCATGTACCATTACTCCAAGTGATTGAGCCAATTTCTCCCTCTGCCATGAGTTTAAGTTGTAAACCTCTCAGCCAGATAGGGAGGCAGTGATGGGCTGCCTGTTGTGATTATTATTAACCTTTAGGATGGCGCTCACGAGCCCAGGGGGTCTGCGGAGAAACCCAGGAGGGGCAGGTGCGACTGTAGGCTCCCACCCACCCACTTCCACCCTGTCTGCGCGTGTTGCTCACTTTGGCCTTGGAAAGAGGCTCCAGTCCACCAGCCTGGGGTGAGTCATCGCTTGTGCCAGGGTAGGGGGGAATGGTGGTGAAGTGGTTGGATGTCTTCTGTTGCATTTGGCTGGGGGTGGGAAGGGGCATTGTGGGAAAGCTGCAGAAGTCTTGTTCTAGGGGTGCCCTGATATTCACAACTTTTTTTTAACAGTCAGAGGCTAAGTTACCCAGCTGTAACCTGCAGAGGCAGTTGCT